ATAAAATCCCCCACAAAGCAGTCGACAATCTTCATGGTAACCATGAAATTCGATTACTATGTATTTAGAAGGTAATAATCAAATTTTCCAGTAGAGAAAATCAGTCGGAGTTAATTTTTTTCATGTGCTTCTTCTATAGTTTTTATAGATATAATTTTAAATAAGTACATACACATATACTGATATTTTTAAATTCTTGCACTTACGTAAAAATTAGTTTCAGCATTTTGAAAAGCATGCCAGCGCTAATATTTGAGTCCACATCTATAGCGGCCGTACAATAAGACTTCAGGATGCAAGCTCGGCCATCCAAGCCATGTCTAAAAACGAAAATATGCAAAAATAAATTAGAGAAGTCGGATTTTGCAAATAGTTCACAAAGAATAAGCCTGATCTAACCCGTCCAGGACATCTGCAAGTGAATGTAATACATCACGCTTGAAGAAGGGACGCCGCGACTCCTCAGGACCAGGAAAGGGGAAATTGGCGCGAAATCCATAACCATAACCCCAGAGGGTATTCACCTTCAAAATATTATTTTTGCCAGTTGTACGCCACTTGTGTGAAAATAGAAATGAAAATTCGTAAAAAATACTTACATATACATATGTATGCAGATATGCCAGTATAAAAGCAAAAGATGAACAATCGAGCAAAAAATTATTGTGCAGCTGATTGAACACAAACACATTCGTACAATACCGATATTCGTTAACTACCTACCGAGACACGCGAGCCTTTGGCAAATTGCAAATACCGTTTGCCACGCCGCAAGATGCGCTCACCATCCGTCACCTGCTGTAATAATCCCCTCTGTTTGGCCACCGCTGCGATTGACCTTTGATGGCGTGGCAGTGTTGCGTATTTGCCAGCAGCTGATTTTGACAATGATGGATTATTGTTGTTGGTTTTTCTCGAACTAATGGCCATTGTGTCAAAATCGCTACTGTTGTCAAATGCAACTGCGCTGTTGTTGTTATTGTTGTTTGTGTGATGCAGGTGATAATTAGTGATTGCATTGTTTTTCATGCTGAGTTCATCGTTCTCATCGCTTTTGTGGTTGTTCGCAATTATGTTCCTGCTATTGGAATTATCATTGCTGTGAGATTTGATGTTATTTAGGGCTTCATTATTATAACTTTGGCGGTCAGTGGTGTCAACCAGCATTGTCACTTCGGTGTAGTTGCTGCTTTTAGCGGTCGCAACCGTCATAAGAACCAATCCAAGTACTGGCAGCTGCATGATTGATCTCAGACAATAGATTTTGCTGTAACTGCAAAATAATTTTCCGTACTTGTAATTGTAATGGTAATGGTAATGTTATATGCTGGTAATGGTATTAGTAATCCTAATAGTAAAATTAATGGTAATGGCAATGGCAATGGTAGTAGTTATGATAATGGTTATGGACATGGTGATGATAATGGTAAAAGTAATGGTAATAATAATGGTAATGATTGTAAAGTTAGGGTGACCAGATTAGTCTAGGAAAAATGAGGACTAGGGATGTGCCGGAATCCGGCTTATCCGGCCTTTTTTCTGTTATCCGACTATTAAAAAAAAAAAAGTTAACTTCCCGATTTCGATTATAGAAGATTCTATTTAAAAATCTAGTTAAGTTTTTTTTTTTTAATTTTTGTAATCAAATTTAATAGTGTCTAACTAGTAATTAAGAGTTAAAATTTTTTATATTTTTCATTATGAAAAGAAGCATTTCCGCATTACCGATCAAGAACCCATTTCTATTTTCAACATAAATGCTACCCGGTGCACGAAACACTCTTTTTGAGTTCACTGAGGAAGGTGGTTCGCAGAGATTTACCATTGCCTGACGACCTCTACACCTGTCAGTATATCGACAGTCTCTAAGCGGCATTC